AAGTTGCTAAGGCTGGCCTCAAACTTTCAGTCCTCCTGTCTCAGCCTCCTGAGTCGCTGGGAGGGATTACAGGCATGCACCACCATGCCTGTCATTCAAGTATTCTTCGGCAACAGGAAACCAGTTAAGACATTCATCAAGTGGTGAATGGATGAGATCGGGCGCATTCAGGGTGGTATGGCCGTAGACAAAATGTAAAAATGTGGATGTGTAACCGATGTGATTCTGCAATCTTTGTAATGTTTTGAATAACCAATAAAATAAAAAAAAAGTGGTGAATGGATAAACCAACTGTGGTTCAGCCACACCACGGAATATTCTTGGCCATGAAAATGAAGCACCAACACCTGCTAAGACAAGAACATGACGCTGAGAAGCCAGAGACAAGACATCACATGCTGTGTGATTCCACTGATATGGAGCACCCAGAACAGGTGAATTCACAGACACAGAAAGCAAACTAGTGGTTGCAGGGCTGAGGGAAGGGGATGGGGAGTGGCTGGTAATAGGTATGGATCTCATTTTAGAATGATGAGAACATTTTGGGTCGAGATAGAGGTCAAGGTTGCACAATTCTGAATGTACTAGATGCCTCTGAATCGTTCACTTGAAATGGGTGCATTTTAGGTTATGTAAATTTTACCCCACAAGGTGACCAGAAAACAATGCTCTGTGGCTACTTGAGGCTCAGGTGATCAGACAGGTGAGTCTGAGGGCCCATAACTTAGGAGTGTCAGGAATGAAGGGGGACAAGGAGGCATAGGCAGGTTGAGGCAAGGAGGGGGATCATGTACCAGGTCAGGCTGGTCCCTTGGGAATACATTTAGGAACTCAATACTACAGAGGCCTCAACATCTCATTTGGATCTTTGGAAGAAGATCTTGTACAAATTTCCCTCAAAACCCAATCCTGCTGCCCTTTTGCGGTGGTGCACACCTATAATTCCAATGACTTGGGAGGCTAAGACAGGAGGATCCCCAATTAAAGGCCAGCCTTAGCAATTTAGCAAGATCCCAGCAAATTAGCGAGACCCTGTCTCAAAGTTGAAAAATATAAAAATAAAAATAAAACCTGATCCTCCTTCTGTGGGTGCCATCTGTGTGCCACCTTAGGGTTTTGCCCCTCTGCCCGCATGAGAA